ACAGAGAGAGAGAGACATAGAGAAAGAGAGAGAGAGAGAGAGAGACAGAGAGAGAGAGAGAGAGAGAGAGAGAGACAGAGAGAGAGAGACAGAGAAGAGAGAGAGAGAGAGACAGAGAGAGAGAGACAGGTGATATCCAGGCTCTTATCAGCCCCTGCAGGAGGGTGCTGTCTGCACCAACCCTCCGTTTGTTATGGTTCCAGGACTTGCGTGTCACTTGAATCTGCCTTATCTGGTGAGTCAAAGCACCCAGACGCAAACAAGGAGAGGACTGGGGCACCTGTCTATATGACCTGTTGTTGGAAAAATACACTCCCAGCTATTGCTAATTTTACATCATTTTTTTCATGAATTCATCAGCATCAACATCAGGAGAGAAACACACCCTTTTCATGAAATAAGTCATTAGAAAAGCACCATATAAATACTGTATGCATTCAGTGTAAAGCTGATAAAGATACAAGCTCCCACCAAACACTACATTAGATATAGCATTTTATATTTCTGGATCAGTTTGATGTGTAATGTGTCCATGTGCTCATCGACCTCTGCTGGCCAATATAAGCAGATGCCTGCTGATTGATTAATTGAGAGGGTCAAGCTCTCACTCAAGATCAGCACAATTTTAGACAGAGGTTATCTCTCTATCCAGATGAACATTTGAATTAAACGTTTTTCATCGTTGACTGTCCCTGACATGAACCGGACCGAGGCAACTGTTTACAGAGGGTGATGGCTCCATCGGTATAGAGAACGCAGTGTGCTCAGTACGTGGTGGTTAATGGTGTGGGGAAGTGGTTCCCAACCTGGGGGGCGCCAAACATCGCAGGGGGTGTGCCAGGCCTCAGATGATTTGAGGCCTAATATCATATTTAGACTTTTTTTCTTTTACTTTTTTTTTAACATATAATTGTTACACAATACATGATTGTATACATTACAATAAAGTATAACAAATAATTGATTAATTAATTTTAATAAAAATTCAAGTTAGTAGCTAATGAAGGCATAAAAAGACAGAAATGCATAATTTTTTCTATAATAAATAATAATAATATAATAGAAATGTTTCTTCTGCGCATAAGGTGTCCAAACCGGGCTTGTCTGTATAACCGCATTTTTAAAACATAGTCATTGTCCATGCCGGTTTCAGTTGGATTATTTGTCACAGTTGCTCCGATCAGATCGGTCTCCTCCATTTTGTAGATTATTTACGACTTTTGAATCCACATAAACACATCGGCAAAATTCGGCTTACTTTGAGCATGTGTTTTAAACAGTTTAATCCCTTTGTGAATTGTTTCCACTTGCGCCGTCCTTTAATTTCTTCATACAGCGGGAATCCAAATGAATTAATCCTGAGTCCAATAACCATCAAAGTCACTCCAATAGTGCTCCTTAATTACGCTTTCATCCTCCTTTAACTAAATACTTCACATTCATCCAGTTTGTTTGTGACAGTAGTCACAAACGCATTTTGAGACTTTGAAACATAATTACCCCCCCCCCCCCTTGTGTGTATGTGGGGGGGGGGGGCGCAACTTCCAACAGGAGTAATTTGGGGGGGCTCTCGGGAAAAAGGTTGGGAACCCCTGGTGTGGGGGATATTTTCATGACATACAGTACTTTGGGCCCCTTGAGCATCGTTTAAACGCCACAGCCTACCCGAGTATTGTTTCTGACAATGTCCATCCCTTTATGACCACAGTGTACCCATCTTCTGATGCTACTTCCAGCAGGATAACGCCCCATGTCACAAAGCTCAAATCATCTCATACTGGTTTCTTGAACATGACGATGAGTTCACTGTACTCAAATAGCCTTCACAAATCCTATAAAGCACCTTTGGGATGTGGTGGAATGAGAGAATTGCATCATGGATGTGCCCGACAAATCTGCAGCAAAGTGTGATGCTATAGTGTCAATAGACCAATGCAACCAATGCATGGAGTCTATGCAACGAAGAACTAAGGCAGCTTTGAAGGCAAAAGGGGTCCGACCCGGTACTCGCCAGGTGTAACTTATAAATGGGCGGTGAGTGTATTTATGTTGGGCCTTCTTTCGGACTGCAGCTTGAGGGCCCGGGACCCTCACTGACTGGTTTTGGACACTACGCATTGAATTCATGTCTCTATGTCAACTCGAAGCATTACAATTACTTAAATCTTATGGCCCATATTATTGTTTATCCAGTGGCGAGCCATCAGGGCCCTCTAGGCCCTCTCTGAGGGCCTAAGATATTCTAAAAAATAATATTTGAAAAGAAGAAAAAATATATATATATTGCTTTTTTAAATATTTTTGTAGTTAGATTTTTCATTAGTTTCACCAAAATAACTTGATTTAATTGTATTTAAAATAACATTTCAAAAGAAAGAAATTCTTCGAATCTGCCTATTCAGTTTCTGTTGGAATGTGAAGGGTTAAATGAAAGAAGCTCTTTTAGCCGTCTCTGCGAGTTTCTGGGTGTTTCTCAATGTCGAGTACGCTTGCTTGGTAGCACATGTCTTCCGAGTCACTTGCTTCAGAAACGAGGCAAGAATCCTTCCTGGCATTCTGAAAACGAAGAGTGGAACAGGCGAGCAAGTGTGCGTCATATGAGAGGCCCCGCCTTACATTTTCCGCCACAGATTTGGGGAAATTGGTCCGTGCGCAAAGCATTGTGGGGATTTTAAGACTGTGGAGTCTACACATGTGCAGCCTCGAAATTTCTCGCTACGAAGTACGCCGGGCTCGGTAGAATTCAAAGTATGCTGGACATTGGAAAAGTCCTTCGGCGGCACTCAATGACGTAGTATGCTTGAAATAGTGGCTTTGCAGCAGCTTTACTCGAAATTGAGAAACACCCACTGTGAAGATAGGAGCTGATTGGTGGTCCTGCTGTAAATTCACAGAGGGCCAGCTATAGTAACTGAACGAGAGAGTAATGACAAGCACAATTGACCAATCATATCTTCCCTTTAAATGGGTGGGCTTTATTTTCGCAGACTTTATGACAAGTTCCGCCCGCTGTGAAGTTTATGCATGTGTATAGAGCTATGATAGTGGGTGTTTCTCAATGTCGAGGAAGCTTGCTTGGTAGCACATGTACCTCCGAGTCAGTTGCTTCAGAAGGGAGGCAAGAATCCTTCCTGGCATTCGGAAAACAAAGAATTGTGGAACAGGCTAGCAAGTGTGCAGGTGTAGTGCTGCGTACCTGGACTCACATTCAGGTTCAGGTCCGGACTCAAGTCCAGAGGTTCAGGTTCAGGTCCGGACTTATAAGTCCGGACCTACGGTCTTCAGACTCTGGCCCCCCGCACCAACCTGTGAACCTTCGGGGATAAAGCCTTCAGTATGGCAGCCCCCACTCTCTGGAACGCTCCCCCTGCGGAGATCCACAACATCCCCACGCTTGATGCCTTCAAAAGGGCCCTCAAGTCCCATCTGTCTGCCAAGGACTTTGGCCCCAAATCTATTTGTTGTTTTATCTGTCTAAACTGTTCGTCTGACTGCCTTTTGTTTTTGTTATGTTTGTTATGTTTGTTTATACTCCTGTTCATCCTTGTAAAGCGACCTTGGGTATCATGAAAGGCGCTATAGAAATCCAAGTTATTATTATTATTTGCACCTGC